TTCACGTAGATTACGTAATATCTTAGCCATAAATACGGCTGTTAAGCAGAGGTATTGCATTCTTGCTCAGTTTTACCAGCGGTAAAAGACGAAGCTCTATTCTTTTTGGTGAAGCAACGACCCCGCGAATCGAAKCATGGCTCAAGTGCAGTACCCTAGACCTCAACAGAACCTTCCTGATCCAGGGAATCAAGATCAGAACCAAGATGGTCAACCCGTAGCCCAGAATCAAGGTGGTCAGCCCGTAGGTCAGAATCAAGGTGTGCAGCCCGTAGCCCAGAACCAAGGTGGTCAGCCCGTAGCCCAGAACCAAGGTGGTCAGCCCGTAGCCCAGAACCAAGGTGGTCAAACCGTAACCCAGAACCAAGGTGCTCAGCCCGTAGGTCAGAACCAAGGTGTGCAGCCAATCGCTCAAAATCAGAATGAACTTGAGGTATTATACTGCACGTTTGTAATACTGTAATTTTTATCGGGTTCTTTATAAAGTTTAATCCGTTCCTAATATCTATTTGCCTATTAAATAGTGATCCTAGAGAGATTTTTACGCGGATTTAGACATAATATACGTCCGCAAAAGCGATTGAAATTTGTTATTGATACCCGTTATGGTAATAGATTTTCCATTCATATCGCTTGGAATTTCGGAACTCAGGCAAATCGTAATGATGCATTGTTAGCAGTATTGTGAATACTGTGGCAGGATGAGTGAATTCTCATCGGTATCATTGGATCCAGGCAGAATGCATGCATTGTTAGCAGTATTGTGAATACTGTGGCAGGATGAGTGAATTCTCATCAAAATAATTGGATCCAAGCAGGCAGTAGTTGTATTCTATCGGATTCGGGTCTTTTGAGTGGTTTCATGAATATAGCAGGAAGTTACAGAGATCTTGATGGCTTTGAAAAAGGGTTCCTAAATCAACCTCCTCGCGTATGTTTTCTGATAACTTCGGCGGGGCCCACCAGCGCTAGAGATTCTGATACTGTGTTTGTCTTCTCTTGATATGTATAGTCCATTACCTGGTCATGGGAAATGAATAAGGAATTTGATAACACCATGATGTCGCACTCTAAAACTGGAATTTCTAATCCAATCAAGTGGTTGGATTTCTGTGGGAACCCCGTCGAGGTTAGCAGAGACATGACAGCCCATGAAAAACTAGCAGAGAAAGTGAACATCCTATGAAACGCTCACAGCCTTCTTGAAAGTGTGATTTTGGTTGAAATTCTTTATAACTAGTGTTGTTTCGCTGACAAATGGTTAAATACTAAGAGTGGGAAGTAAGAATTGGGGATTGAGTATGGGTTTATAGATATATTTAGAGGTTTTAGCGCTTGGTTTCAGGTGCTAAATAGTACCAGGTAAAGTTAGGTAGACGCGAAGATTGGATTTTTTCCCATACTTAATTCAACTGGGCATGAATGCGAGCATTATGAAATAGATTACTATTCTTAATGATCGGAATGATATGSACGGTGGAATTTGAGTAATAAACCCAAAACAATAAATGTTAATGGACATGTTCACGTAGATTACGTA